GGAGAGGGGGGTCTTCTGTAAGCAATCTGCGTCAACCGGCACGCGCTGACCCCTCAGTAGAGCTGGGATCCACACTTCCGGCTGGAATCGGATTTTTGGGAAGCTGGGTCACTCCGATCGATGCTGTCCATTATCCGCTGGACAAACCAGGCCGCGGAAAGTCGGTCACAGCGCTGTTTCATCCCGCAAAGTTTCAACCAGAACCGCTGGGCTGCGCGTCATCCTCTAAGCGCGCGTGCAGCCGCGTCCGGAGCTGTGAGGCGTAAGAGACCCAACGCGACCGGAGGCCGTGGGTTCGAGACTAATTCTTCATCTCGGTTTTCCCCGAATCCGCGGTTCTGAGCCTCTCTGAGGTCTGTGAGGTGTTCACCTGCTCCCAGACCAGCACCTGCCCCCCGGGTCTCACTCACCATGGCCGTGTAGCTGTGGATCAACATCTGGATGCTCCGGAAGCCCCGAACGAGAAGTGAAGGTGACGCACAGGTGTGTCCGGGCGGGATCCCGCTCAGCGCTCCATCAGATGATGCGCAGCAGCTGCTCTCCTGCTCTCTGTGTCACGGAGCCCTGAACAGCCTCTGCCAGCCTCGACGCACACGCGCGCACAACACACACGGACTCGTGCAGCCTCTCCATGAGAGCACTACTTATAGTTTCTGCGCGCGCCCGGCAGAATGAGGGGAGGGGTCGGCAGGGTCCACTTCTCTTAAAGAGACACATTCTGCCAAGTTCGTTCAACTCGCGCGCACTGAGTCGATTTTCGGTTTTATTTCGACGTTTTTGCGCGTAAAGTTACCGGTTTGAGTCGTCTTTGGACGCAGATTCCGTGAAAAACTAAATTACTGAATACAAATCCGAAATGTGGAAAGTGAAATTGAGCCCGAAGGCCTGGTGGCAGAGCCGTGCGTGTTACCTGCGCGGCCTCGATCTTGCTCCGGGACTTCCACAGCATGCCGGTGCTTCGTCCGGGTGTCAGGCCGCCGCTGGGGGGTGTGAGGCCGCCGCTGAGGGGTGAGTGTGAGGCGGAGGGAGAGGAGGAGACCGGCTGGAGGAGCAGGGAGGAGTGAGTCAGGTGGAGACGCGCAGGAGTTTCTATGGATGAGTCAGAGGAGGAGGGAGGGGAGGGGAGGGTTGGGGGGGGGGGGGGGGGGGGACTTTTCGGGGTTGGTGCTGCCATGCTAAAAGTACTTTAGATCTGATACAAGTCCAAAAGAAGACATACTTTATCATCATAAGCTGCACGTTTGATTGAAAAGTTCTAAAAAAAAAACCTAAAAGTTTCTGTTAAAAAGATAATAAAAAACTTAAATGAACCTTGAAGAGGAGAGAAAACCAGAACCTGCATCATACAAACCAGAATCAGGACCAGCAGCTCTTTGGGAATCCTCAGAAATCCTGTTTCCTGTCTGTCAGAATGTCTTTTCTTTGGCCTTTTTCCTCCATCAGCTACAGAAATAGAACAAATGATGTGTCGACAGGCTGCTGCTGACAAAGAACCTAAAGATCCACTTTAAGCTGCTGCTCTGCTGACTGGACACAATGCTGGCTCATCCCTTGAGTTAGGGGCCTTTTTCTGCCTGAAGGACTCAGAGTTCAGAGGCTGAACAGAGAAAAGACACAAAAACTGGACTGAAAACAAGAGATGCAGAATAAACTCTTCAGAGCTGCTTTCCTTTATTCAGGTTTTTCTTCTTATCTGTTGGAGTTCTGCTATTTCCAGCTCATCAAACACACATCAGCAGTTTAAACACGTTAAGGTGCTTCATTCTGAGGACTTCTCCAAACCTTTAAAAGGCCTAAACGTCCAAAAGCAGCTTATCGTCGCTCCGTGAGCTGACAAACAGCTGCTGTTATTCTGGGACTGCAATTCGGCCTCTGATTGGTCGGTTTGGTCTCAGGCTGTAGATGTGAGAGATGCTCATTTTGTTGATCATTTTCAGGCCGCGTGCGTTCAGGTCTGACTGAGGTCTAAGCGTGCCCCCTGGTGGCCGGTTCGGGCATCGCCTCCCCGGGAGGGAGGTCTCCTCAGCATCAAAAACCCATCAGGGCCCGTCTCTCCTCTGATTGGCTGTTTCCGCCTCTGATAGCTTCCGGTTTCCGCCCCAAAAGCAGCTTCACTTTATTCACTCTGTTCAGACTTTATTATTTAACAGAATCAGTTCATATACAAACAACTGCTCCTTCTCTCTCTTTAATTCTTAAAGTGTTCAGTTTGTTTCTGCTCACGTTTCAGTCCAGATGGAAGTTTGGTGCACAGAGGCGTCAGAGCAGCACACATTTAAAGAGACAGGACCCCCATCAGGAGTCCCTCGGCCTACAGGAGCCCCATCAGGAGCTCCATCAGGAAGCCCTCAGAACCCTATCAGCCTACAGGAACCCCATCAGGAGCCCCATCAGGACCCCAACAGGACCCGATCAGGACCCCCTCATGAGACCCTCAGGAGCCCCCTCAGGCTGCTCATCCTGCTGGCTGCTCCCCCCTCGCTGCTCGTCACGGCGTCGGCGATCTCCTGCCGACAGTCGGGGCACACCTCCGCTGCAGCGCACAGCGCCTCCTCCAGCGCCTCCTCGGTGTGGCGGTCGGCCCGCTCGCCGCCCAGCACGCCGCCCAGCGCGTGTCTGAGCCAGCCCTCCTCCCTGAGCAGCGCCGCCAGGCCGGGCTGGGCCCGGACGCAGCCCCCCAGCGCCTGCAGGCTCAGCCGCCACAGCTCGCCGGCCTCCGCCCAGCTCTCCTCCCAGCCGCCGCCGCCCCGCCCCGGGTCCAGGGCGCCGCTGAGTAGCCGCAACGCCGCCGAGAAGAAGCGCCGCTGGTTGGCTGCTAAAGGTCCTGTGGGGGACAACAATTACCCATGATGCAACACAGCGGGTCTCAGAACCTCCCCCACCCCCCTCAGGACCACAGACCCGATTCTGAGTGCAGACCCGGGTCAGTTTTCCTCCTTTTAGATCTCTGACTTCCCTTCCTGGATCACTAACGAGCAGGAGGTGTGGCAGTTCTCTCACCTGGAGGAGGAGACCTCAGCCTGCCAATCATCAGCCCCAGACAGCAGTAATTGGCTGCCAGGACCCGGAGGCGGGGCTTGTTCACCAAAGCAGGAAGTGCTTCGCTCAGATGGGCCTCCAGGATCCTGAAACACGGGTCCGTCCTGTAGAACCAAACAGCTCGGGTCAGGCAGGTCAGGCGGGCCGGCCGGGGACGGCAGCCTCGGTGGCCTTTACCTGACGCGCTCTGGCTCAGTAACGGCGAAGTTCAGCAGGGCGGAGCACGCCGTCTCCAGGCCGGGGTCTCTGGCCGCGCCGCTCTTCTTCTTCAGGTGACCCCAGCCCTGCGACAGGAAGTCCAGCAGCAGGGCCGGCGCCTCCAGGCTGAGAAGCACCTTCCTGGGCGCCTCCTCCGCCGACAGGTGGCACAGAGCCGGCAGCAGGTACCTGTGGAGGGGGCGGAGCTTTAGCTATGACGTCACAGCAGGCTTGGATCGGGTCACCTGGCGGCCGCTACCTCAGAGCCTGCCCGCCCCTGCAGGCCCCGCCCTCCTCTCCGCCCGACGCCTTGGCCGCCCACTCAGACAGTCCGGGCATCCCGTCCTGAAGGTGGCGCCGCCCGTAGCCAATCAGGAAGGGCAACAGCGCGGTCACTTCCTGCTTCAGACAGGAAGTCTCCTCGGCCAGCCACGAGCACAGCGAGCGGAAGGTGGCGAACACAAAGGGGTCGTCATAGCGACTGGGGTCCACCTGTTGGAGGAGGAGGAGGTGAGGCGGCAGGCAGAGCGCCACAGGATGATGTCACACCGGGGTGGGGGGGGGCTCACCTGCTGCAGGTGGTACACCACAGCATTGAAGGCCTCCTCCAGGACCCCGAGGACCTGCCGGCTCTGCTGCAGGCTGAGAGCAGAGGCGCCGGCGTGGGGGGGCGGGGCCTGGGCGTCGCCACACGCCTGCTCGATGGCGGCCTCCATGATCCGGTAACAGCCTGCGAGCAGCGGCACAGACTCATCACTCTAAGTTCATAATAAATAAGTTCACAAACCAACATCCTAATAAATAAGTTAATAAACAAACATCCTGATCGTAAACTCACAAACAAACAAAGGTCCTGATGATAAATAAGTTAATAAACAAACAAACATCCTGATATTAAATAAATCCACAAACAAACATCCTGATCATTAACTAATAAACAAACAAACAAACAAACAAACATCCTGAAAATAAATAAGTTCACAAACAAACATCCCGATAATAAATGAGTTCACAAACAAACATCCTGATAATAAATAAGTTCACAAACAAACATCCTGATAGTAAACTCACAAACCACCAAACATCCTGACGTTTAATAAGTTCATAAACAAACATCCTGATGTTAAATAAGTTCATAAACAAACATCCTGATAGTGCTCTACCTGTCAGCGTGTGCTGCAGCTCCAGGCTCAGGTCGCTCCCGGGCGGCTCCTCTAAACCCATCCGGACCTCCACGCAGGCCCGGTTCACCAGCAGGCAGCAGAACTTTGGGGAACCCACATGCTCCCAGCCGAACAGGTCCAGCAGGCAGGCGCTGAGCACCAGGACCGGCCCGATCTGTCGGGGCGTTAGCTTAGCCTGCAGCATGGGCCGCATGGCCTCCCACACCCGGCCCACGGCGCCCCTCAGCTCCTCGCCGTCTGCCCCCACCTGCCCCGCCGGGGGCAGGAACTGCACCAGCTGGGCACACAGACCCAGCCGGTTCTGGTCCGAGGCCCGGCAGAAGTCTGTGCAGAGGGAGAGCAGCAGAGCACGGAGCTCTGCAGAGTGTCTGCTCCACGCTCTGTCCTTTGTGGGACCACACAGGAGGCCCCCCAGCAGGGGGAGCCCCCTCTGGTGGCTCAGGGTCCGGTTCTGCCGCACCGCCTGGCAAAGAGCCGGGACGGCGCCCCGGTTCAGGAGCTGCTCGGCCCCCCTGGGAGAGGCACACACGGCCGTCAGCACCTGGTAGCAGTCTGCAGCCACGGCCTGGTCCAGCCCCGGCTCCCCCGATTCGCCACAGCCCAACGGGACCTCAGCGTCTGGACTGTGTCCGGCCCGGTTCTGCTGCTTCCAGCCCGGACCGTTTGCCAGGACGCCCAGCAGGATGGGCACGGTGCTGAGGAGCTGGGGGCGCGAGGCCATGTCCGGGTCGGTGCTCAGGGCCGCCAGCAGGGCCGAGCCCAGAGATAGGAGCTCGTCCGGGGGCAAGGCCGGGCCCTCGCTGCCCTGGAGGGCGGTCACCAGCAGCCGGGCGGGGAGGTCCAGGCCCACGGCCTGGAAGATGCGGCGCAGGGTGGGCCGGTCCAGCTGCTTAGCCGGACACAAGCGAGTGATCTGAGGGGGACAGAAAAGGAGAGGCTCAGCTGGGCTCCAGAGGCCTCCAGGCACAGAACCTCCAGAAAACATGGAGGGAAATCAGTTGAATTAAAGCAACTTTATTAATCCCACAGGGGGAAATTGAATTTGATGCAGCAGTAACGGTTAGAGAAACGGAGATAAAGAGGTCTTCTTGGGCCATCGGACTGTCAAAGCACAGCGAACTCGACGCCTCCTGCGTCACGTGCGCCGTGACGTCATGACACTCACCAGCAGCAGTGCAGCCAACGTGTGACTGTCGTTTTTCGCGTGGCTGAGCGCGTGAAGACACCTTTCCAACACCTGTCCCTGGGCCTCCGCCAGGCCACCACCTCCTCCGTCACCTCCTTCTCCCGGCTCCTCCAGGCCGGACTTCGGGCTGCTTTCACCGGGCTGAGCGCCGTCTGAGTCCGCCATGGCGGTTCTGAGGGGTCAGAGCGAGCAGGCTGTTGAGGTGAGCCGCTTACGGCTCGGTTTCCCCAGAAATCCGCCTGTTAGCACCCCAAACACGGAAAGTAATCGTTCAGCACAACTTACTCCGAGCACAGCTCTACAGCACGTTCCCGGGCATACACCGGAAGTAAACAGCCAAAACAAACCGGAAACCAATGAAAACGGTTCAACAATTTCAGCCAACCAATCACAGAGAGGGTTGTTGAAAGGCGAAGACGCCATTTTAGCTTGTTTTGAAACGCAGTAGAAACGAGGCTCTGCGTGTTTATCAGCCAAAATGGTATCAAATTAATATAAAAATAAAAGTATTTGAAGATTTTTTTGTGAATGAATCGTACTCAATTTGACCAGATTATCGGCCTTTGG